CCGCTCTTCTTGTGAGATTTTTTTAACAATGTTTTTGGTAAAACACAATCCCATCCTCTAATATATACTGTAGTACTATATACGTCGCTTAAACGAAACAAAGCTTCACAACAGCCATATACTAAATACTTTGATGACTGTACTCCAAGAATCTCTGCCAACATGTTAATTACAATTGACAGCGAATATTCTACATTTGGATGATAGTTCATTTTTTTATGAAAATTCAAAGCTGCAAATGGCTGTATAGATGTATTTATAAAGAATTTTTGTTTCTCTTGACAAGAGGACAATTCTACGGAACTTCTGGTTACTGCACTCAAAAATTGTTCCGTATATTGCACTGCTTTTCGCGTAATGACGTCATTATGGGGCTGTTGGAAATGTAATAAAGGAATACTCCTAAAAATAATTACATTAATCACAATGTAATCATAAACATAAAAATAGTAATATAATCTTGAATAATTACTTTACAATAGCATCTGATGCTGCGTGTCTAATTCTTTGATCTTGATCACCTAATAGCGTTACAATAACATTGATAAAATGTTCTTGGAACATTGATCCACCACTTATATGTTCTATAGTAACATATGATATCTCACTCAATAATTCCACTAATTTAACTTTTACCAGAAAATATGGATTCTTTACTAGCTGAGGTAATGCTGTTAACACAGTTATTCCATGTTTATTATCAACAGATTCTAACAATTCTGGTAGACATAAACTGAATGCTGTTAATGTCTGTCGACAAGTAGTAGAAGAATCATCTTCTAGTCCCTATTTAAGAAAGATGGATGTAAACATTTTCAAGCAATTGTGTAATATTATAAGTTTATAAATCTTAATATAAAAGAGTATATACCTTCAAAAGTAATTTAATCAAATTTTCTAACGATATAATCCCACGTTGTTTCTTATTTGTCATTTCTGTTTCAAATTTTTTAAAAGATCCTCCATATTGAGTATATATGGATTTCAGAAATGTACCAATAATAATTGATATATTACCCCTAATTTGAGGATCTGGATGATTTGCAAACAATAAGATATCCGTTATCATTTGTTCATTTTCGGTAGAATTTGATTCTTTGGCAACAGGCATTAAAAACAAATTCGGACAAAGTTTTAAAATATATGCCACACAAGTTAAAGCAAGAGATTTTACACTAACGCGAAAATATTTATCTGGTATTACATGACCAACATTGCCAGTTAAGAGGAAAGATGACACCAAATAACGGCAACAAAATTTTAAAGGTATGTCAGGATCTGTAAAAGTTCCAACGTCTACTTCCCGTAACGAAAAATCTAAAGAAAGTTTTTTAGGCGAAGCAATCGACGATGCGGTTTCTTCAGTACAGTCCACTTCTTTTGCTTCATTTTGTAAATTTGTATAAACTTTCTCTGATTTTTCTATTTCACTTCCTACATCACTACCTTCTTCGACTGTTTCATCTGAAATGATCACAATCACACAATTATTTGTATTTATTACAATAAATACAAGTATTTTTTAAATGATATTAATCATCCTTATAGTATACATTTTCTCTTACTATCAATGACTCCAATCCTCAAACCACTGTAATTTTCTAAAATTTTTCCTTTCATTTCTATAATATTATTTGTACACTCCTTTGAAATTTGCAAATTTTGCATCAGAGGAGGTATAGTTTCAGAATCCAATATCCACTTTTCTATCTTTGGATTTATTTCAGGTATATCAGAATCAAGTAAATTTAAAGTATAATCAGAGTTTTCTCCACAAGCAGTTGCAGTGCTAGATGTACTTGCTTGACTTAATGATAATGTCATTTCATTTTGATTCAATGCTATTCTGCTATGTGTTATACCTTGACTTGATAATAATAATGACACTACAATTTTTGGTGGTGACTTTAGAAATTGAGTCAGTGTTTCCAAAACTGCATTTATAACATTATGATCAGAATGCCATTTTGCATAATGTAAGCATAGTTCATAAATTAGTAACAAACTATCTGCCTGAACTGTATCATCATCTTGAACATCAGAATGATTACATATATGTGGTAAAATTATTCTTATACAACCAAATATACCAATAATAGTTGCTATACGACTTTCATCCTCATTTATAGGCATTACAATACCTATGAAAAAATATTATTTAATTAGTAAAAAAATATTACATGTACCTATGTAATATTGTATTTATAAGTTTACCTAAAAGATGTTTTAGTACATAATTTAAAAAACACTGTGGTTTCCTGCAATTCAGACATGTTGTCAAAATCATATTTGCTGCAGCTCTACGAAATGCTGCTTGTACAGAGGATACATTTTCAAAGAATGCTTTTAATAATGTCTGGAAGAAAGGAATAAATACAAGTTCTTAGTCATATTATAAATACTGTGTCATACGATAAACATAAAAACTTACCTTGACATCATTGTCTGTCATAAATGGCCCTAATACTTTCATAATTAATGGTAGTGATTGTGACAATGTTTCTATTACAGATTCCTCAGAACGATGTGCAATAGCTACTATACATGGTATCAAATTAGATACATATGCTTTTCCTCTTGTAGGACGAATCATATGACTAAGAAGTCCAAATCTCCAAAGAGCAGCTCTTAATGTTCTAGCGGGTCCATTTCTTTTTATTTCATTATAAAGTTCTATTTGAACTTTAACAATATTACTATCAGCCATTGCCTTTCAAATAAAATAGTTATTAAAACACCTATCACAGTCTCATTATAATCACTAATAAAATTATAAAATATAAATACTATACCCTTATAATTTTATTTAATGTTTCATCTGCTACCATTCTGATATCAGATTCATCATCATTGCACAATGTCAATAAAGTTTCAATCGAAAGACTAAGTACCTGAGGAAACTTGGTTCCTGGTTTGACACTTGGTGAACATATTCCTTCTGTTATTGTCATGCAACATGTTAATTTATCTTTCCTTTTATTGAAATAAAGGACATATTAAAATTTTTAACATAATGAATTACACAATTTCTACTAATTTTTTAATTTAATTATGTACATATTAATTTTATAAATAAAAACAATATGCTAAACAAATTATAAAATATGCGATAACATATATTGAAATATGAATTATATAAATAAAAATAACGTATTCATTTGATAAATTTTTTATTGTTATGTACATACGATTATTTCAATTATCATTAAACGAGAAAAAACAATTTGTTCTTGTACCTTGCACTCGAATCTGACAGAATAGTGTTTGATTCTTGAGCTGATTTTAAAGCTTCTATAGCTTTCAATACGTTATTTAATGTTGTCATTTTGTCAAATATTTTTTAACAAATCGTTTCCCACTTTCTACAAATCAATGAGTTTTAACAAATTACATTTTGATAATGTAGGCCGAATTTATGACAGACATCTATCTCGTACATATAAAACTACATGCTGTTCGGTACCATATTTATTTGTGATTTAAACGTCACACTGAAACCAATTACTCACAGACTTTAATTATACTATAGAACAAGGCATAAGAAAATTGGTGAATTAGACGTTTAATGCGTATTTGCCATTACTTTTAAAAGAAGAACCGCTGTTTAAATACTAACCATATCTCTCTATAATAACGGATAAAATGAATATCATGTACGTATAATACTTATTTTGCTCAAAAACGTGGTAGCAATGATAATTTGTTTAAGCCACATCAATATAAAGCAGAATAAAAAGAATGTTTATATTAACTTTAATTGAGTGATGTAATATGAAACAGCATGAAACGGTGAATATAGTGTACCATGTGTAATATCAACGAATACAAAAATAAGTGTTCGTAGATAATTCAATCGATCAATTTTTAAAAGTGTAATATAGTTAATAATTCATATAACGTACAAGTTATTATAGGACTTTCTATTTTATTTGTGCACGTTCGGTAAAGATGACATACAAAAATGACTTAAAGATAGTATTTGAAAGGCAAGTATAAGATTGGATATCATATCCAAAATCAACATCGATAAAAAAATATTTAATTTAACTCGACTATAAAAAAATACAGTTAACCTATTTGTTATTCGATTTTCGAGGTAGCCATTTTACATTGGAACATTTTGATTACGTAGAAAACTCGAAATTTATCCGAAAACGCATTTGCCATTGTCAATGCAACGGAAATGCATCATTTGGGCGGTTTAATTTTTAATTCCTTTTCTTTATTTTTTTTCCACGAACTGTGTAAATTTGTATTAATATTAATCGCGTATAATAGGTAAATAATACACTAACAAAATTATAAATTGTAACTTGTAACATTTAACTTGTAACGGACTTTGAATAGTGTTAGTGGATGAGGTGAGCGAGTTTCAGTTTCTTTTACACCATACGTTGTCGACTGAAGAATTATAGGGTAGAAGCAATATTAGTCTTCGTTTTAGTCAGAGTAATTTAACAGTTTAAATGTAAACTTTTAAATTTATCCATCAATAAAATAACATAAAGCACCGTTGAAACAGTCTAATTTTTACAATGTCTTATATGCAACCTATTAAACATTTTCGATCATTATTTGGTGTAAGAACAATGGTTACGACTGAAGAACAAAGGTTTGATTCACATAAAGAATTAGTTTTAAATAGTTTTTTCTTACATTTATTTCGTTAAAAAATTAAAGCACGAATGTTTTCTTTGCATGAATATTATGCATTATTTTTATCTTCAATTTTTTCTTAAATTGTACAATACATAATTATTTGTTAAATTTTTTAATTACTGCTATGTATTATTTATTAAAATAATAAATAATTTTTAATTGTTTTGTTGTGAATGAAAATATATTCTTAGTTAGGTTAGATTGGAAAAAACGCTATTTAATTTATTTCAATATTATAAATTTATTGTTTATAATTTCCAGAATCCTTAACAATTTTTGGATGTTTAAATATGCCAGGCTGTGCAGCAGTTGGCTGCAACAATCGTAGTGAAAAAGGTTATATTATGAAATGTTTTCCACGTGATCCAAAGCTAAGAAAAATTTGGCAAGAACGTGTTGCTAGAGCTGATTGGGAACCATCAAATAATTCATTCCTGTGCCACGTACATTTTGAACCTCAAGAATGGTCTATAACACAAAGTGGGAGAATTAGATTAAAAAAAAATGCAGTACCATCTATATTTACTGTAACATCTACTAGAAAATCTCCTAAAAAGAGAACTAAGATATTTGATCATAGAGGTGAATATAATATAGAATACATGGAAAATGATACTGAGCATTCATCTATTGAGCAGTTAGAAGAGAAAGACTTGGGTTTTCAGGCAATTGAAGAATCATCTATGGAACCACCGATTGATAATAATCTTAAACATAAATTTATAGAAATTAAAAAAGAAGGGAACGTTAAGATTGATACTCAAAGACAAAATATCGTCATGATTGCTGAGGATAATCTTGTTGATATTAACAGTCTAGTGAAACAATATAATCTTGAAGTTTGTTCAGATGATAATAAAAAGGAAGTTGGATTACCCTTAATGATTAATAATTCAGAAACTGCTCAACTACCAAGTACCACTGTGAAAAAAGAAATTAAGCTAGAAATTATGGATCATAATACATTTGAAGATAGTTATGATGAAATTGAGGAGAAGTTAAAACAAATTTGTGATGGTGGATCCACTGAAGATGAAAATTATAAAAATGGAATTGAGAAAAAGTTAGCAGTTCAATCAAAGAATCAAAAGGAAGATGAAGTTGAAGAAAAAATGGATACAAATAATGAATTTACTAACGATGATCAGAAAGTTGCTTTGCCTACTGATACAAGTCATGCTTTCCCAACAAAAAGTGAAATAGGGCATATGCTTACAGATAAACAAGAAAATGTTGAAATAATCTTTGGCACTGAAAGTGGAGATGAAAAAATGTCTGTGTCCCAAAATATATCAAAAATTAATAAAGTAGATAATAGTCCTTTAAAACATGATGATATAATTTCTATTAAAGATAACAAGAAAGTTTTTAATGAAGATATAGAAGAAAATTTTACTAAAGATGAAGTGCATGTTATACCAAATATAAGAGCAGCTATGAAACGTAAAAGAAGAACTAGAGAAGAAATAATGAAATCAATAAAAAAATCAATTAAAAGCACTTCTGATCAAGATGTTAATTCATCGAGTAATAGTGAATTATCTGAACAAGAGGCAGAAATTAGAAATGAATTATCTTTGTTTTCTCAAGAAATAGACGACATTAATAAAAATGATACAGAAATGGAAACTGCAAAATTTGTCATCAAAGTAACTGGTGACCCTGATGATGTGACTGACATCATTGAAGAATTATCATCTAATACAATAGGTACACAAATATCTAAAGAGTTTAATACCATTTGCAAAAATGAAGAAGATGGTACACTTATTACATCTATTATAACAGTAGTGTCACCTAAGAATCTTAAAGGAATTATTTATGGAGATTTTAATAATCCACTAGTAAAGGATGACTATGTAACCTCAACTAACAAAACATTAATAGTGAATCATTCTCCTTGTGAAGAAAGAGAGTTTGCAGATTTAAATACAACTCATAGTTCTAAAACCTACCATGCTTCATGTTTTAAACATACATGTTCTGATGAAGAAGAAAGGCATAAGATAAGAATTAATTCTCCATTGCAAAATTGCGCACAAGGTGTTCAAACTTCCTTGGAAAATAACACTGGTTGTATTTCCTCTGATTATGAAGATCTATTAGAAAGAATACAAATTCAAGAGAATGTAATTGCAAAGTTAACTGATCAGTTAATTATTTATAAAGAATTGGAAAACAGCATGAGAAATAAAAACAATGAACGTGAAATACAATCTAAAGATGTAGAAACTTCTAGAATTAATACAAGATCAAGTAATACGCAATCTTCAATTCTTAATAAGAAAAACTTAGAATCCAAACAAAGATTAATAGAAGATTTGTCAAACAGAGTGAACTATTTTGAAGAAATGAATAAGAAATTAATGAAAACTGTAACATTGGAATCTCAACAAAAAAGAAAGCTTGAAGGGCAAATTAAGCAAAAGGATAATCGAATAAAAGAACTCAACTGGAAGTTGGAGAAAGCCTCTAAATATCTTGAAAGAGCAGAGAAAAATACTAACACTTATAGAAGGAAAATGTTAAACATGCAAACTATTATGAGAAGAAGAAAACTTTTAGATGAAAAAATGAGCAAATTTAATGAAATGTTAATAGATAGCTCTAAGCAAGAATTTTCAGAAAAGGTTTTATCCATGGCAGCAGACATTAGGAAAATTTGTGGAAGAAGTGGATATGATAAGTTACTTTCTTATGGGTTTCCATTACCACCATTACCATCTTTAAGAAAGGGAATTCTTAATGAAGATATCACAGATCCTAACAAAAGTGATATGGATGAAGTACGAAATTCTACAAAAATAAGTGTTAAAGTTGAAAAAGCTCATGATACAAATAATGAATCTGAAATAGATGAAAAGGACATAGAAGTTGGTAAACCAACTGAATATGAAAGTACAGAAACTGTGACAGGAACTGTGCAAGACATTTTTGATGAAAACAATGATGGTGATGATTTTAGTACAAATGAACTGAGAGAACATTTTATTCTGCAATTAAATGCAGTTATGTAGCCATAATTTTGTACTTTAAATATATCCCTCTTTTTTACGACTTAAGGACTGTAATATTAAGATCATAAATACCTAGGTAAAGTTTCTTCTACCATTGTACAATATGTACCATTGTGCTCTTAATAATTATATTTATTGTACAGTATCATCTGATGTTCTTACTGCAAATGTAATATATGTATAAACATTATTATATGTATAATATAAAAGACCAGTTTAATTGATAAATTGCAGTATTAAATCATTGTTTACGAATAATTTTCTGCATAATGGTCTATCTTAAAATGTTATACAATATTTTTTGCTACTTATTGATAAGATTTATATTTTAGTGATGAAGTAGGAAAAACAGGTCTGCTACAAACTTGTTGATAGTGTTTTTCTAAATTTATCATTATCCATAATATCATAATATTTATGCACTAACAAGATGTTAAAAATATATGAATTTAAATACATTATTCAGAAAAAGTGATTCAGTAATTAACTATCTTATACAAAATATTGTAAAAAATGATAGTGTAACAATGCTTTTACATATTCAAATTTTATACTACCTAATTACTTAATATGATTGTTGAAAGTATTTATATTACATTATATAAGATCACTAACATATAAATAGTATATTAAAAGTATAATTATAAATTATGACAAATTATATTTACTTCATTTGGAGATATATATAAAGTAGAAGACTGTATAATAATAAATACACTTCATTACATGTGTTTATGTGTATGCGCGCACGCGCGTGTGTATTTCTTTTCTTTCAATACAATTTTTGTCAGAATAATTACAGTCCAGTGGTAAACTTGTTATTATTAACTTTTTTTTTTTTCTTTTGACTTTCCATCCTTAGATCCAACTATTTTATCACATTCACACCAAGGTGTAGTCATTTTATCACACATTAAGGAAATATTAAGGACGGTCAATGGAGTGTCCCCAATAGTCATTGCAATTGTACCTAATATTTTATAAGTAACATTATTTAACCCGGTTTGACGATCTCGTTTCCTAGTAACTTCACGTTGATTATAACATTTGATCATATCTCGTTTCCTATGGTTTCTATCATGTATATGTCTTAAAGTAATAAAAACAATACCAATAATTATGAACATTTATTTATATTAATATTTAGGGCATATATAAATTATTTATAGCGTATCTTACTTGAATGTATTATGTGTGCCAGTAGATATATTTTGTGGTCTTACAATAATCAACCCGGCTTCTTTTAATCTAACATAGAATTCATCATCTTCAAGACCCCATCCCCAATATTTATTGGACATTCCATTTACTTGTAGAAAATGTTCTCTGTAAAAATAAGTTTCATATTAAATTAATTTACACCTATTAAATAAATCTTTAAATATTTAGTATAATAATAGTTGTTATGATAAAAACCTTTTAATTAATAGTATTCCACCAACAAAAGTTGGATAATGATATCTAGGATGTAATTCTGGAGAAGATACATGGTAAGGGCCTTTATTAGGAAAAGAGTATAATAATTCATCATTTATAGGTAACAAATCTACATCATGTATAGCTATGTAATCAAACTCTTTATTAATTTCAAGGAAGCCTACATTTATAAGAGAGGCTCGATTAAATCTAAACCTATCAATCTATAAATAATATAAAAGATATTATTATGTTAAAATGATATGTTTGTATTTGTTAAAGATTATAGTGACCAGAAAATACCTGATTCAGAACAAATATATGATAATCTATGTTTTGTTTGTCTAAAAATTCTTTCATATGCGGGACAAATATTAATAATTCTTCAAAGCGATCTCGAAATGGCACAAGTATAGCTAAACGATGCAATGATTTCTTCTCAATTGAATCATCATTATTTTGCTGATTATGATTATTATATTGAGCTGATTGAGTAGTTATTTCATATTTACATTCATCTACAATTATGAATTTCTGAAGAATTATTTAAGAAATTAATAGTCTACTATTAAAATTTTGAAACCATTACAAACTTACCAATACTTATAGATGCAATACTTATCAAACATGACATAATAAACATGATTAAAATGCAAGCAAATATGTATTTAAATTTTATTATCTTCCAAACTTCCATACCGAATAAGAAATATTTAAATAGAGTATTTTAAGTTTAAAAGTATATAAGTTATTCATTGAACAGTCATATAAAGATTTGTCAACATTTCCTTGTTCTAAAAAAATTAGTAGTAGATTAATATTTTTCGTTTTTATTTACAGTGGACTGTGATTGAAATTAATATAAATCGTATTGTATTTTACATAGTTGAAAATTACCGTTGCATCGATTTGTCAAATGTAGAATATTCTTGATATCACACACAAAAATTAGGCAATTTTGTTCTCACATACTTTTTCATAGATTATTTAAATGAAAGTACTGATCAATTTTTATTTAATACCACTTTTCTTTGCTAGCCAAAGATTTATCGGTCATTGGACCGACAAAAGTACATTTTTTACACCAAACGTGCATATTTTCTAATTGATCACATTCACCATTATGACACACATCGAGATTTAAAAAACAATTTGTATCACTAAATTCTGCATTGCTTGCTTTATAGTATGTACTGCTACAATTTTAGGCAGTGTCACAAAACCTAATAATTGAAATGAATGAAGATACTAATATACCTATACCTTTGACTGACTACTTTATTGTTTTACCTACTTTATGTAACATAATTTTATTTAATTAAAAAATATTTGATCAATATTGAATATTTTATCAAAATTGACGATATATAGAGTTTATTTTTTAAATAAAGTATCAACCTGTATATTGAATTTATTTTTGATTCATATTAATTATATTATTAGTAATTTTTTTAATATAAAATAAATCCATGAAAAATGAAAAAGAAGAAGTTATATCAAATAATTTACCGTTAATTTTCAATTACATTAATAATTAGAATAAATAATATTACTACAGTTCGTTAGAGCATGTAGTAATAGTAATGGTAGTATGTATAGTATGGTACATTTGTGCAGTGCGAGTGATGGGTGTTGCCTTTCATTACAATTAATGCTTAAATAAAACAAAATACTAAAATGTTACCAAAAAATTGTATAAACATAATCTTAATATTCCTCAATTTATTCTGTTATTTTATATATGGTATACAAAATATGTTTATTTTTAAATAGTTTAGTTATTTTAACATGCTTAACGAGTAATTATTTATTATTAAAAATAAGGAATATTAAATTGTAAAAAATATGAATAGATCGACTGCAATTATAATTAATATTAATGACAATGTGTAAATTCATTTACAGGGCAAAATCTTGACAATACAGTTACATGGTGTACAATATCTGAAGCTGAACAAGATAAGTGTAATGCATTTGCAAGAGCAGTTGATCGTGAAATAGCATTTTTCGATTATAATTACATTTCTGTACAATGCAAACAAGCATCTAATAAAGAAGAATGTATGGCTCTGTTAGATGAAGAGAAAGCACAGATAACCACTTTAGATGCTGGTGAAATTTTTATAGCAGGACGCTATCATAGTTTGATTCCATTTATGCAGGAATTATATGAGAATGGTGAACATTATCAGCATGCAGTTGCAGTTATTAAAAAAGGATCTTTGTCAGATGTTCAGAATCTACATGACTTAAGGGGTAAAAAGGCTTGTTTTGCTGGTCTTGGAATGCTTGCTGGTTGGATTATTCCAATCTATACTGTAAATATGATTTGTTTTACTATGTTTTTATGTAATACATATTTAATTAAACACACATATTATTTTTTTATTTTATATAGCTTATGAAACAAGGTGGATTGGAAGTTGTTGATTGTAATAATCATGTTAAATCGGCTATTAAATACTTTGGACCTAGTTGTGCCGTAAATTCACTGATAGATAAACATAATCCATTAGGTATGATTAATAGTAATGCTACGTAATGTAAATTTCTTGTGTATTTTGTACTTTGTAGAGATTTTAAATTTTAGGTGATAATTCTGATCAATTATGTAAATTGTGTGTTGGAAAATTACCTGGAGGAAAATGTACAACTTCAGACCCTTATGCAGGATATGAAGGAGCATTTAGGTGTTTGGTAGAAGTAGGAGAAATTGCTTTTCTTGTACATACAACAGTACATGAAATGACATCAACAGCATTTGATTTTGGTATTCTTTTTATATTAGAATAAGTTACTCCTATGATAAGTTATAATATTAATAAATATTGTTAATCTTTTTAGAAAATTCTATAAAAAAAGAGCAGTTTGAATTGCTTTGTCGCGATGGTAGTAGAAAACCTATTGATGAATATAAATATTGTAATTGGGGAACTGTGCCATCACGTGCTATAGTTACATCGTCTGCTACAAAGATCGAAACCCGACGATTATATCAGCGATTTTTAGAAAAAGCAGTTGAAATTTTGGGAAAACATATGATGAGAAATTCAACTCAATTATATGATGATCATTTTGAAAATCGACCAGGTTTTAATAATAGATTTGGCGAAAAAAATTTTAACAGAAGTGAATATGCTAATGCAAATGAATATAATACAGAGAATTTTGAAAATCATAATGGATATGAGAAAGGCTATGATGGAAATGAATTGCATGAATGGGACAAGACAGAATCAACAAACATACAGCCAATAGAAACTTTCAATTTATTTGAATCTGCACCTAAATATGGAATGCATCACAACTTAATGTTCTCTGTAAATAGAATATCTTTTTTAATACTATTTTTTTTCTTTTTTTTAAATGTTAATTTAAACGGTATAACTTTAGGATTCAGCGTGGGATTTTGTTCAATTGTCCGAACAAGATCAAATATTCACGGGTTATTTAAACACATCTCTAGATCCTATATTAGAAGTACATCGTTGTCCTGTCGATAAAATGACCTTGTGTGTTACATCCGATCCGGAGATGGAAAAATGTGTAAAAATGAAGGTAAATGTTTTAAAGGATAAATATTATAGCTTCAGTAAGTATAATTATTAATGAATGAAATAATTATTAATTTCGTATTAGATAGCATTAAAAGCACAGTTATTGAAGCCAGAATTAAATTGTCACAAAGGTCATAGCCAAATTCATTGCATGCAGGCTATACAAAGTGGGTATGTATATTTTTGGTACCACAAAATTTCCCGAATGAATTTCTAAACTTATCAATTGTTTTATAAGAAACACATATATTTTAAGATAAAATTAATTTTTTTTGTAGAATTGCTGATGTAGCAATGTTAGATACTAGTGATGTATATACTGCTGGTTTACGGTACGACTTGATCCCGTTTATATCCGAAGTTTATAATTTACCAACAGCAGAATATTATGTGGTTGCAGTAGTGAAAGAAGAGGATGATAATACAGATTTAACTTACCTTAAAAATAAGTACACTTGCCACACAGGAATCAACACAGCAGCAGGATGGGTATATCCAATGGCATATCTTATTTCGAATACTTGGATCAGGGGCTATGGTTGTGATTCAGTTCGCGCTGCTGCAGAATATTTTACTAAATCTTGCGTTCCGGGTGCACTTAGTACGGAATATAATACAGGTAATTACAGTCTTCTAATTAGTCACAAAATTGATCACTAGTCTAAGAGAAGATTATATTTTAATTTATTATGTCACAGGAGTACCGTATGATAATATGTGTGATCTTTGCCACGGTGCGAGTTTTCGCTACTGTCGTAGAGATGCATCTGAAGATTACTATGGGTATACTGGTGCTTTTAGATGTTTAGTTGAGGGAGGCGGAGACGTAGCTTTTGTGAAACATACAACAGTCGCAGAAAATACTGATGGAAAACGGCGAGAGACATGGGCGCGTAATACATTTACCAAAGATTTTGAACTACTTTGTCCAGATGGTACACGTCGTCCAACATCCGATTATGTTCATTGCAATTTAGGAAAAGTGGCAGCGAATGCAATAGTTACGCGTGGTGGATATTACGGATATAACGAGTCGCAAATGAATGCTTATATAAACTTGTTTATTTACGCTCAACAATTTTATGGCAGAAAGGAACAAGATGAATATAGTTTTAGCATGTTTTACAGTCAACCACCTTATACTGACTTGATTTTCCAAGATGCTACGCAACAATTAGTAGTAATACCACCAGAAAAAAGGGAGTTTAGTGCCTATTTAGGTCCAGATTTTATGAGAGCTAGAAGAATTGTTGATTGTAATGCTGGTGCATCGGCTATAGGACATTCGATACAAGCTACGATGGTTACGATATTACTTACGTATGTATTTAGTAGATAAAAGATTTGATAAATTTTTCTATAACAAAGGAACCTTCGTAGAATATATATGTATGTACATTCAATCAAAGACATCTTAGAAAATGTATTTATCTATATTTACTAGCTTTTTAATCTTTGTATGAAATGTGTTCACAGATTAATTCTATTTTTTGTATTTCATATATTAGTATATCTTTAAATGAATGAATGTGGTAATGTGTATAGTTCTCAACAAAATTTGTATTGACATCTTGCGAATTCCAAATTGAGGATAATCCGTCCATTTTTTGAAACTTCATATAACCATAATATTTCTGCATGTAATAACTGTACATGTATCTTATGCCGTCCATTAATATTTTTATACGTATTGAATAAAGTAAGTTTATAACATTTTAGTCGTATCCATTGATTTTTCATTTTATTTAGAACCTTATGAATTGCGTATAGTCATTTCTTGTAGAAGAGTAATTTTTTAATTTTTTTCACTTCGACAGTACGTTTTTACATGTCTTTTGAATTCGTTAATTCTTTGAGTTTTTTTTTTACTATTATAAATGAATCAATAATTAATATTAATCTGGTTAAAGAGCAATAAAAAGTAATGAACGAACGTTTAAAAATAAAATTAATAAAAATATAAATAAGAACCTAAAGAAAACAATCGGACACCTATTTTCTTGGGCAGCACGATTGGCGAATAATCCTTCAATGTTGAACTCATTCTAAAATTTTTTGGCAATTCATGTGCTTTGTTAAATTTTTTTATTTGTAAACTTTTACGTGGGCAAATCGTAGGTTTTTGGTTCGTCGAAATTGATCTCTTCGCAGTGCTGTACTTTTTAGTAGATTCGTTTACCTTAAGATACGGAAGAATTAGATTAATATTATGAAATGGTATTTAAAGCTAAAAAGATAAAGTTTACATTAGAAGAGTGAGTATTGTGTTCCAATTTATATTTCACAGATTTAGGTTGCGCTAAAATATCGATGCGTCTCAGACTTTTTATATTTTTTCGTTTCTTCTTACGATGGCTCTGAAAACAAATATAGTATCTTATTCTTTGTTTATTTTTGAATGTTTCTTATTTTTAAGTTACAAAAGATTTAGTAAAACTAGCATGACATAATGAAAGTAAAATGTTTCCTTTATAGTTTACTTTCTTTGATTTTTTGTTCTGTACTAACGAATCATCGGCATTTGCTACAATAGTTGTACTTTTTACTCTCCTAGGTGCGCACCAATAAGGTTTTCGTTTGTTACCGTGCTTTTTGACAACAGATTTTGATGTTAATTCGTGTCTATCGAGTAACAAAATTTATTAGTAAGCATGAAAAAGATAGGAAAATACAAAAACAATGAATTTACTCCGTATTAGACATCTTAGAACAGAAATTTTGGGCATAGATTTCTCAAATTCATAAATTTCGTTTAAAAACTTAAAATTTGTTCACGATTACTGTTTGTTGGATCTATTACTGAAAAAGAATTGAAGTTTGCAAACATCTTATTTTACGATCGCTTCAATGTCACGCATTAACATTTAACCCTAAGTAAAATCCGCAAAATTTCCTGTTATTTTTTATAATTTACATCAAATCCTTTTAAGTCTCGAATTAAATAATAATTTCACGATCAAATGAACGATATGAACACGGATGTTTATCAAGAAAGTGTACCAAGATATGAAAAACTAGCAAAACCCAAGAAGAGAATTGATAATTCCAGTAACTACAATGTCTTCAATGTAAATATCATATATACTAATACAAAAGAAAATGAACATCCTTTAACACTTTAATATTTAATATTTTAGGTGAAACGTGGAGCATTGTCTTATCAAATTACAGATTCATTAAATAAATTAGCACAACCTAGACGAAAACTAAGCGCAAACAGTTGTAATATATCCAATCCTAGCACGAAAAGTTCTTCTATAAATACAGGTAGCTTAACAAGGATATGATAGTCCAAGTGTTATTTTCACCTTTTATTCAACATTTCTTAGTTTTGAAAACTTTTCCAACCGATTACGCAAATATTACGTTTTGAAAGTAGGTCGCTAATATGTAAGTGACAAGATATCGATAATTAAAGCTTTCGCATACTTTGTTGGAAATAGATTTACGTTTACGTTTAAAAGCGATACAGTACTAGTCGTACATTTGTTTCCTCCGATTCCTTCGATTCGGAATGTTTGTCGGAATTTTTGTTATCATTGCATCGAGCTTATAATTGCAGCATTAAGATCGTCCTTGTATGGACAACTTATATCGTAGAATTAGATTGCATGGCAGAACGTTGGAGAAAGATTTATTAAAGAGTTACCTTCAGAGAGCTCGTTCGCAAGTTCGAAATAACTTTAGTTTCAATACACATCGGATATAAAAACAACGTATGTCAGAATTCTTTGTTATAATTATATAATTGTTCTTAGTGAAACAAGGACATCACAAATTGATAAATAGTAGCGAACAGTCAAAGGACGCGCAAGAAGCAAAGAAGAAAAAGTTTTTATTAGACACCTATGCTCGCATTACCGCAGCTAGGAATAAAGGATGTTCGAAACGTTTGCACGAACTTGCGAAACCGAAACATTATCCGATTCATACCGAAGCTTACGAGGATTTCGAAAATTATTTTCAGACTATCAAGCATTATAACGCGAAAGCTCCACTTTTAAAGAAAAGATAATGCTACAAACTTTGTCACAGCCATGTAATGTAAAATAAATAATATCGAGAATACCTTGATATATATCAACTTTCATTTGACACAAACATCCGTCTCGACGAAAAACAAACGACGACTAGCTTCTTTTTTAAATCTTGTCGAACTTAATTCACCTAACACGAATATGAAACAAAACTGAAGAAAATGAAATAATAATATCGAAAATGAGCAATTTAACGTAACACAGAATAAAGCGTAAGGAAAAATGTCATCGTTAACACCTTTAATATTTACTGTTTTCATTAGTAAATTGGAAAAGTACTTAACCTCTATAATGAATTAAACTGGATAATAAAGAAGTTTATGTTCCCTTCTTGAATGTAATAACGTGAAATTACTCGAGTATTTATACAGCTTTAAGTACACAAGGAAATAGGTCTCAAACATTGTAAGAAATGGCTCCAAAAGTTAAAAAAGTTGCAAAAAGCGCAGGCACGAAGAAAAGCCCAACTACTAAGGAGACTGGAAAAAGTGGATCTCCTAGAACAGCACTTGGTAGATTAAGAAAGATAGATAAGTCGAAAATTAAAGGAAAGTAAGCAATCTTCTTGTCGGTGATTTTAATAAATGATACATCCTTTAACTCTAATGTTTGATCTTTAGAAGAACTAAACATAAATTGAAATTGAAAGGATGGCTTGCAACACCTGCTGATTGGGCTCGTTTCAATGCCTGGGTAAAGAAAAATGCTCAACCAAAAAAGATTCCAGAACCTGAGCCTATAGTTAGTGTAAAAAAAATGTTTCACCACCTGAAAATTCATGCATATTTTTATACGTCACGTTGTGCAACATTTTTCAGGTCCGACCTTCCAAGCCATTGTCTCAGTTGAAGAAAAGAATCAACATTTTGTCCAAGCCTAAGAAGGCACCTGATCTAAGTATTATCTGTGAATTTGACTTCACCGTACCGAGAGCGGCATTGAAAGCAATTCCGTCTAAACGAACGATTTTATTAGCACTACCAAACATAAGATTGGTCGATTATGGCCGGGTTTATTATAAGATTTCACCAGCAGCTCTAACATACGAAGCGTCGCAAAGAATCATCGAGCTAAGTCAGCCTCGTGTCATTATTCCCGAAGAATGCAAGCCACCCAGGCTATCGATATGTGACAAACGTGTGCTCGATGAAGAAAGATTGCGAAAGTTGGCTCTAGCAAAAAAGTTGCTTGATTGCCCTCAGCAGTTAACGAAAGAGGAAATAGAAGAATTATTCACGCCTCAGGGTATAAGAAGAACCGCGCTTACCTATAAAGTAAATTGTATATCTTTCTCTGCGTTAATTTCACGTTGTATCCTTTCCACATTTATGATTGAACATGACAAATACTATTACGATGGTTCGTTAGATTACAGCTTGGGTAAGTTTTCTAGCTCTACCGGCGTACAAGAGAATAAAAGACAGAAAGGATGAGAAGGCGAAAACTTGGAAGAAAATGATAATCGAGGAAGGAGAAAGAAGAGGTAAAAGTGCTTTAGCTGAACACCAGAAACAAAAAGAAGAGATAAGACGAGGGAAAAAGCGAAAGTACGAAGATACGAAAAGGCAGCGGCGTGGCAAAGATGATAAAGAAATTACGGAAGGAGAAGAAGAGGAAGAGAAGTATAAAACGGAGGAAGAAGAGAGGAAAGCTAAAAGAAGAAAAATCGAGAAGCATGCCTGGAGATTTGCACCATTTCCGTGTAAACTCGATCCGTATGGTATTAAGAGGGCGGCTTTGAAAAGCAAAGGTCTGTGATAAAATTATAATAAAGTCACAACTATATTAATCAAAAATTATGTTATCTATTTTAGCATCTTCACGAATGGAGGAACTGTCTAAACCGCGTATTCGCAAAATTATAACTATAAGAGCTAATCCCTTTATCGTGAGAAAGGGTGCTTTGTCAGCTTCAGCTTCCGGGAGAATCGAATCTTTGGCAAAACCATCAAGGCCTCGAAGTCCTGTTGAAAGAAGAGCACCGCGAGAAAAAGATAAATATGGCAGACCGATATTCGAGATGCCTGTAGGATAATTCAATCTGATCGAATAATGTATCGAGTAGCTAGCAACAAATTAATTTATTAATTTGCCTGTAGGTGTATGGAAAGGTGTTACCGAAAACAAAACCATACAAAATGGGCGAATGCCCGGAGCCAAAAAAGAAAATGATTGCCAAAAAACGTCCGATTGACTCAATTGTCTACGAGCCTACCTTTGATCCATGTATATATCCAGACTTGGCTAAAAGACAGAAAATGGAAAGAAAAAGAGCTGAGAAATTATCGAAAACGAAAAAGAGCAAAAGGAAAAAACAGAAAAAAAGATTGAAAAAATCCAACTATTATGAAACAAAGAAGCTTGAAGATAAGAAGGAAGAAGAAGAAAAAGAAGAGAAAGTGGAAAAAGAGAAAGAAGAAACAGACGTCGTTATCGATGATGATGAAGCTCAATAGTGAAAAGGGAAATAAAAAATGAAAATGAGTAATTTAAAGTAACTAAAAATATTGTAATCTTTAAGGCGAAAAGAAGAAATGATAAATGTGTGTAACAAAGAAGAAAAAAATAAAGAGATAAAAATAGTACGAAAGACCTATATACGTTTCAGCGTTTTTAAATTCTCTCTAGTTATTTAAATATTTAGTTTACGTCATTAAACATATGGTTTCAAGTTATGAAAACAACAGTTGATATATGATAGTGTAAGTTTTATGTTTCCTTTACTTGACGTTTGCACTACAGTCACGTAATTTCGTGGCAACGCGATATACCTACATGTATTTGTGTAAAAGTTCCAAGTAAATAAGGAAAATTATTTCCAGTTATATGCACATATATATTCTATTAACTATAAGTGTCGGTTATCTTATCAATAAACATTTTTGCGTCGCCAGTTTTTATACTTGTTTTATGCTTCTTACATTACAGATATTTGATAACGCGGTTTTATATATATTCGATTGATGCAATTTCGAAGGAATTAATAACTCTAAGTAAATGATATATTTGTTTAAACATTATAATTATTACTATGTAACTTATTGTAACCTTTTAGCATGAGAGGAAACAATACAATTTTAGCGAATTTTATCCTTCGTTCTGAGTATATAACCCCATTTCTTTTTATCTGAGGCTTCAGTGTGTTTCAAGCATCGGCTACGTGAGCTATGTGTATTTAAAAAAGTTAATTTACACTTTTGATAAGAGAGGAACACTCAGACGACAATATGAAGTTACAGTTCAAGATCTTGCCTTGTATCATTGGCATCATTAATGTTTCATGTTGTACAGTACACCCGGAAGCAATAGCGCCAATTGGAAAAATCCGTGGTTCTATTCTGAATTCAAGGCTTGGTCAAAAGATTTATTCCTTCCGCGGAATAAAATATGCAGAGTCTCCCACAGGAGAACGACGTTTTCAGGTGAGTTTTTCATTCTTCTCTCAGCCGTAATTTTATTAATCCTGGAAAGATACTGGCATGTGGACATTCGTCAAACTTATCGTCAACCTTCAACTGTGGAAACAAAGAAAACTTTGCGTATTTCCTTTTATGCGAGTATTTATGGGACATCGGTGGGAATAATTCCTGTAATTTTCTCACGATACAGGTTCCTATCCCAGCAGCAGATTGGAGCAACGTTTTTGATGCCTCTAAAGAAGGTCCTGCATGTCCAAGTTTAGATAATGTAAAACCGATGTCCGAAGATTGCTTGCGTTTAAACGTGTACACTAAAAAAGTATACTTTGATCTTACTACTTTCTCTTTAGCGTATCTAAATCTTTGAATTATGCATTGTGTATTTATAGAGTTTAGTTGTTTAAACGTTGCAGCTACCATCGAAATGCGAAGATGAGAAAACACCAGTGCTGGTATTCTTTCATCCTGGAGGTTTTTACTCTTTCTCCGGTCAAAGCTTTTACTTTGGTCCCCAATATTTGATGGACCATAATATCGTTTTGGTCACTGTCAATTATCGCCTTGGTTCATTGGGTATTGTAATTATCCATAGAAAATAATATACCAGTGATCGTTGGTTAATTTTTGCACGAATCTCATAGGTTTCATAAGCACGGGCGATTCATTAGCTCCTGGAAATCTAGGTTTCAAAGATCAGGTTGTAGCACTTCGATGGGTTCAAAGGAATATCGCTGCTTTCGGAGGAGATGCAAATTCCGTAACTATCAGCGGTTATAGCGTTGGTGCACTCAGTACGATACTGCATATGGTATCGCCAATGTCCAAACACTTATTCCACAGAGCGATCGTAATGAGTGCTTGGTTTGCAAGCACGGGACCGTTCCCAACCGATCAGAACGATCTTGCGAAGAAGCAGGCGCAACTTTTGCATTGCCCGACCAATAATAGCAGAGAAATGTTGACTTGTCTCAAATCGAAACCTGTTGAGAATTTCACGAAAACTATGGCAGATTTCTTCGTTAGTTGATATCGCACAGAAATTATTTTTCTTCTATAATTCAACCCAAGGTATTTGTTTGCGCGAATGCTTGATTTTTAGGAATGGTACGGAGATCCAATTATAGTATGGAAACCAGTCGTGGAACCAGAAGTTTCAGGAATAGAACGATTTCTACCGGCTCAACCTTACGATCTTATTAGACAGGGGAAGTTTCATCAAGTTCCAGCTATATTTGGAGTAACGAAAGATGAATTTGGCGGAGTAGTTGTCGGTACGTGGGATAGTTGTTGAACAAAATGTGTTTGTGTGCGTAACATGCGTCACTTCTTTTAGCATTCGAGAATAGAACCAAGGCAGGTTATGATATGTATCGGGAAATGAGCGATAATTGGTATCGAATTGCACCGATCAGTTTTATATACGATCGTAAGCCACCGCGATCAGAATATATTAGCAGAGAACTGCGACAGTTTTATTTCAATGGTCAACCCTTAAGTTCGGCTAACAGAGACGGTCTCGCACATGTACGAATTTCTAAAATAATCACTGAAATTTCTTTACCCGTCCGATTCATTGTTATTAACGTTGCCGATTTATAGATTTATGCAGACAGCGTAATTATATTTCCAACGTATCGTACAGCCAAGTTGATAGCCACTAATTCTAGAGTTCCGGTATATTTCTATAAATTTACATATCAAGGACGTTATAGCTTTACTATGTGGAACGCTACGACACCTTACGGTAAGTTTACGTTGTAATTGATTTGCATCACCAATTTACTTTTATTCGGTAATTTTAGGTGTAGTACATCAGGATGATTTGCAATATTTATTCTTCATGAAGGATATCTTTCCATACTTTAATGAGACTGCACCTGAAATTCCAATGGTTAAATTGTATACATCTATGTGGACGAGTTTCATAGGTACTGGCAAACCTGTCCCAGAGGATGGTGCATTTAGCCATATAACGTGGGACAGGTTTGTGCCTGAGCAAAACAACTACTTGGAGATCAACGTAAACCCCACCATGAAGACTGGTTTGTACCCTGATAGGATGGAAGAATGGGAAAAATTATTTCCTCTATCTCTTGTATCACAGGCTTAAATAATTAAATTACGGATCTACCTTTGTTCTGCTCCTATTAATATTATTTTTAATGTTTAGATATATTTCAATAAATACACGAATGTCAATCAGTATCGAAGTATGCATTTGTTGTATGTATGTGTATTTGTTTTTCCCTTTTCATTCTAATTTTGAAAGCTTGACGTGGTGTGTAATTCCGATATTTCAATAGTTTATTAGAACATATCTACATAAGTTAATGCTCGTATTTGCCCTCGTTTGTTATCAAGTTATTAATATCACTGTAACGATAATACTATTATTGTAAGCTCTACGTTCATATAGTCGAAATATCGCTATATGTTTATTTTTCGCGATAAATATTATGAATAATACTTATCATTCGTTAAAGAATCAAGCAAGAAGTGAAAAATTATAAATTAATATTTATATTAGCGATATCATGAATGAAATACAATACATATTAAGGGTTGCTTAAGTAATTAAACGATTATTTGCAGTCACTTGTGAATGACAAATAAGAAGTCTTTGTATAAGAGCTTATAAAAGATAATTTTTTCGAGGAAGGTAAGTGGATTTCCCCACTCATTTTCCTTGTAGCTCTCGTATAAATTGTTCGGCTTTGCCCATGAGTTGTTCAGTGTTCGTATGGGCACAGCTTATGCCGGTTATCCGGATTAATTTGTTCTTATTAAGAGTTTCTTGCTTTAAAATAAAGATAATATCGTGAAACAGAAGATTATAAAAAGTTGAAAATGAAAAGCACTCTGGTGTTTTACCTTTGCCTTATTGGCTTTGTTCTCGCTAAACATTCAGCGCATCATCATCATCATCATTATCATCAGACGGTGGCAAATGCTCCAATTGGAAGAATACGTGGTTCTATTTTAACTTCTAGGCATGGGAGGCAGATTTATTCGTTTCGCGGCATAAGATATGGCAAACCACCTGTTGGACCCCTACGTTTTCAAGTAAGCATTTTGAATTTGAAGATATTTTCCAAATTTTTCTCATTTCATCTCATCGTTGATAAATTTAACGAACGGGACGTGTTTCACAAAAAGGAAGAAGTGAAAGTAAATATACTCGATAATGTTGCAATTGTGTCAAAATGTCACTATTAATGTATTTACTATTAGTCATCTAATGTCACGATAGCCATTTCCATGTTAGTAACGAGAATGATGTCGCCTTTCGCGCGTTTATTCCATATTTGACAAACACCGTTAAGAAATTAACTTACAAATTATCTCATTTTCACGACACGAGAATTGCAATCCAAATTGTACAAATTTCACAGATTTAACGAGATTAAACATAATTTGCGCAATATATACTCCTTGATATTCCTACTATTTATTTAATTACACTTTTAATTTTGTATTTGTGCATTACAAATAGCCTCCAGTCCCAGCAGAAGATTGGGAAGACGTTTTCGATGCTAGCAAAGAAGGGCCGAGTTGTCCTCGTCCTAATAATACATTGATATCGGAAGATTGTTTACGCTTAAACGTATACACTACCAAAGTGAGCAATGACACATATTAAACTAGCAAGTATAAATTATATAATCTCAGAATTTTTTGCATTGAACTTCATTTTTAATTCTAGTTACCTTGCGAACGCGAAAATGTGTCAAGGCCAGTTATGGTGTTCATACATCCCGGTGGCTTTTACTCGTTTTCGGGACAAAGTGAAATTTTCGGACCACAGTATCTAATGGATAAAGACGTCGTCTTGGTTACAATTAACTATCGTCTTGGAACACTAGGTACTTTCGAATGCATCAAGGAAACGATTAGAACGCGAAAAGTTTACATTGTGAATTTTAAAACACGACTATAAATCCTTTTAGGTTTCTTGAGTACCGGTGATCAGATTGCACCAGGTAACATGGGCCTAAAAGATCAAGTCGTGGCTTTGCGTTGGATTCAAAGGAACATCGCTGCTTTTGGTGGCAATCCAAATTCCGTTACTCTAGTCGGTTGCAGCGCTGGAAGTTTTAGTATCATGTTGCATATGGTATCTCCAATGTCTAAAAACTTATTCCACAGAGCTATCGGAATGAGTTCATCAGCTATCAAACCAGAAGTTTATTCCGGTATATCGCAAAATGGGCAAATAGAACTTGCCAAGAAACAGGCCCGACTAGTGGGTTGTCCCACCGATTCAACTAGTGCTATGGTGCAGTGCCTTAATACGTTACCTATGGAAAACTTCACAAATACATTAGATCAAATGTTTGTGAGTATAAAGTAATAACGAAGATGTCGCATATAGAAGTTTCGCTACGTCTGAGTATTAATTATATTTCTATGACAGGATTGGCATGGTAATCCTATTCTACTGTGGACACCTACTGTGGAACCCAATGTTCCGGGTCTTGAAAGATTTTTGTCCGAACAACCGTATGATATGATCACACAAGGACGGTTCTACCAGGTCCCTTACATCCTTGGAATTACAGAAGAAGAATTTGGCGGAGTAATAGTGCGTACGTACTCAATTCAGAAAAATAACTTTCGCATACATAGAATTTGCTTCTCTCATTATTTGATTGTGTTGTGTAGTTTATGAAAGAGGTGCGAAAAGTGGTAATAATCTGTATCCTGAGGTGAACAATAATTGGACTACCCTCGCACCTATCATATGCATGTACGAACGTGATACACCGCAATCAAATTATATCAGTAACGAATTACGACAATTTTATTTCAAAGATCAGCAAATTGATTCGAGTACCAAAGAGCAACTTGCTAAAGTTAGTATTAAATTTATTTTATCTTCTAATTACTTTTTTTGCTATCGACTAAATATATTAAAGAATACTAAACTTTTTGCAGGTATATGGTGATTCTGTAATTATATTCCCCATGTATCGAGCAGCTAAATTATTTGCCACATACTCGAAGGAGCCAGTATACTTTTATAAGTTTACTTACGAAGGACGTTACAGTTTTTACATGTGGAACGATACTACACCATACGGTAAAACTATTTACTTCCCATTTGGTTAAATAGATCATATTTCAAACTTTTATTCTTCTCTTAGGTGCATCGCATCAAGATGATCTAATGTATCTATTCTACATGGAAAAATATTTCCCGTACTTTGGACTTGATGCCCCCGAAGCTCCTATGATAGAACTTTATACCAGTATGTGGACAAATTTCGCTACAAATAGTGAGCCGATTCCTAAGAACGATGATAAATTCAGAAACGTAAAATGGAACAACTTCGTACCTGAGCAAATCAATTATTTGGACATCAACCTTCATCCAACTATGAAAACTGGAATCTTCCCTGAGAGAATGCAGTTATGGGAACGGCTATTCCCCTTGCCTTCGGCTTCAAAGACAGTGAAACAATGAATGTATTGTTCTTCTATAATTGAACAGTTCTTTCTATCTTTGACATTTCAATATTGAATTTCTATCAAGAAATTTTTACCAAGCTAATACAACAGAAAACAGGGGCCCCCATATTTTTTAATTAAATTAAAATGTTTAAATAAAATATGAAAAGAACTTTATTCTTACTTCTTATTATCATTACGTAATATAACATAATTTAAAATATTTGTATAAAAACATTACCAAGTTACGACTCTTTTAAAATGACTAAAAATATGCAATTTTTAAGTACAAATTACAAAAGATATATCTATATTAAACGTTTAAATTTTTGGATCCGACGGTTGAAGTTTTACTATAGCTTCACTGAGTTCCCAAAACTTCTTACCTTTCGCTGGATCTTTTACGCCTCGACAAAGTTCAGATTCCTAAAATTAAACGGTTTCATTATTATTTAAGAAGGTAGATCATTCTGCCCGCTAAAAGAACCGAAACCTTTGCTTACCTGACAATCCATAAAGTATTTGCCAGAAATTTCCTTTACTTCGTCCGATACGGCAAGGTGTATGGTTGTTTGTGCACCTTGTTCGGGTGTTTTGCAGAAAGTGTTTAGTAATAAATTTAATACCCAAGAGAATGGAGGCGGAACATTCTTCCAAATTCCGGTACTCATTAGACCAGGGTGAAGACAATTAGCCGTCACGCCAGAATCCTGAAGACGTCTTGCTAGTTCCAACGTAAACACGATGTTCGCGTATTTCGAAACATAGTATAAGTAGGCAGGCAAGGTCGTCGTTGGATTTACGTTATTTAAATTTAAACTCGCAAAAACGTATAGACCCGATGCAACGACAACGATCCGACTTGGTTTCGATCGTTTCAGCAAGTCTGCAAAATTATAATTCTGTAAATCGCATTTTGGAATGCTATAGTCGATAAAATGGCATTTGAAACAAAATGATTATCATACCGATTAAAAGGTGTGTAAGTAAAAATGGTCCATAATGATTTGTTGCCATAGTCATCTCTAATCCGTCATCAGTGACTTTTTTTCTGAATACTTCTGCAGTTCCAGCGTTATGAATTAATACATCCAACCTGTTCTCTTCGCGATTTATTTGCTGCGCAAATTCTCTCACCGACGACATTGATGACAAATCAAGTTTTCGAGCAACGATATTGTCATTACCAAATTCTTTTATTAGTTCCTCTGAGAAAACAAGTTTTTTTAAATGAAACTCAATCTACATGTGTATACTTCTTTTTATAAATGGGTAAAATCGACAATATGCAAAGTCATCGTTCGCTGCAGAAGGAAATAGAAAGTAAATGATTGTGTTTTGTACGAACGATGACACGTTTCTTGCAATTTTATAACTAGTTTGACAAAGACTGACGCACGATGTTAAAAGAACTATTATAATTACAAACGGAAGTGACCTGAGAATATATAACTCTATCTATAGAACATTTTGCGTAACTTCAGCATAGATTGCAAACATTACTATATCTTTACTTGTAATTAACTATATTTCGCTTTATTTTTAACGAATCGTTACTATTGTCTTCCCTTCCTTTATCTCCTTTCTTTTCGTCTAGTGTAATTGATCTATAACAACGCTGTTAATTTAATAATATGATCGCAAAAGTGAAGTTTAATGAACCTTTTAGTTTGTTTGCTGCCTCCATATTTCGGCAGGCCATGATCAGTCTTGCGCCTCTCTTTGCGATATCCTTCGCAGTCTCCTTTCCAATGCCGGAAGTGCATCCAGTGATTATCACAGTCTTTCCGTCCATTCTGTTCTTGCTCCTGCAGATTCCCAACGTGTACTGAGCGTAAAAGTACACCGCTAGCAGGAACAGAAGCACGACGAGTAACGCGGCTGCGGCCAAGTAACATACCGTCGTGCAAGACACAATCTTCAGTAACATGATCTAAATGGATGGTGTATAGTACGTGACAAATTGCGAGTCTGTTGCAGTGAACACGTATTGAAAAACAATAAATAAAAAAGCATGCATATAGTAGCAGATAAAAATTTGAGACTTGTGTTATGCTTCTAATAAATACAAATAATGAAGTTGACATTAGTTCCAGAACTGTAAGGAAACATTTGGAAGATTTTGATTTAAAAGGACGAAAGCCCCGTAGATAGCTAATGCTTAGTACAAAGAATCGAAGAATGCAACTTGCATTTGCCAAAGCCCACGAACATTGGCAGAATGTTTCATTTTCGGACAAATCAAAATTCAACCGTGTCCATCCTGACGGATTACGATACGTTAGACGTCGAATTGGCGAAGATTTAACCCTTTGCACTCAACGATTTTTTGGCTAGAGAAGAGTAGAAAATCAAAGATTCTCTACTAAAAAACTGATGATACTTTTCTGAGCAGTAAAGAAAGAATTGTATAATAATAGAATTGTAGAATTATTTGATTTCGATACTTCGCACACTGTTACATTACATTAAATTTGATATATTAATTAATATCGATCTTCCAAATTTTATGAAATGGTGACTGAAGGTCATCTCTCGAGTGCAAAGGATTAAAACCGCAGTGTGTTTTACCTGCATTGAAGCATATAGCGTAATGGTGCTTGTTTCTCTAGTAACGGTTCTGATCTATACCAAGATGGTAGGTCGTATTGACAGACGTATGGACCGTTTTCAATACATAGACATACCGAAGAATATAACGTTATCATATTCAGGCAATAATATATCTAATAATTTTATACTTTAACAAATGCATGATTAATTAGTTATTATTAAATAGTAGAACAATGTAGTTATGTTTTTCATATAAATAAAGTAATTTCTTTATTTTCTTATGTTCGTCTTAAACTTTTGTCCGCTACTCTACATGGTTAGAGTAGCAGGAAAGGAAGCAATTATATGCGAAAGGCGTTAATTTTAGATCTTGAATAAACCTTGGATAAATTATGGTAAATCATATACTGTCTTATGTACGTTTCTTAAAAGCGACTGATCTTTAGTATCTTTTTGCAACTTTCGAAACTCTCTTATGACACTTGGCATTAAAGTCTCCCGTTCTCGAAGAAACGTTAGCAGAGGGTCGATGACCGTGAATATGGCTCGCTAGAGATATCGGGCACTGACGTGTTCTACTTGACAGAATAACTCGTATGAAACATCGAACGATTTCACAATTTTTAAATATATAATTTTCATATTTATGACTTCCATTTACATATAATATATAACAAATTATTCTTTTTATATTGATGCATTTTTTAAATTAATTTTTCCATTAATGTCTCTATGATATTCGAGTTAAATTCTATTTTACAATGTGATTTACAATCATGTATGTATCATGCAAATACGTTGATTTACGTCACGTTAGTGTAAAAAGTAGACCGCAACTATTAGCTCAAATTAATAAGTGTGTCACATACTTATACAAAGTAAAAAGAGAAATCTACAATTATTAAATGCGTATGAGAATCTCATCTACTTTATAATACAGTAAAATTTTGCAATACTCCATGACTGAAATTTTTAGCAAATAATTTTATAAAGTCTATTGAACAAGACAATGAATCTTAACAGCACCCAGATTGTTTTTGTTAATGAGTGCAAAAAGTTTCACGATTATGTTTGCGGCAGTTCCAAAAGCAGCAACTGTATGAAAGTTATTGCAGACCGATGAGAATAGCGAGTAGTGGAATTTGAAAAGAGTAGAGCAAAAAGTGTCAAGCAGTATGCATGAGAAGCCGACAAAAAAATTCTGTTAATTTAACGTTGAATTATACTTACACCAGTTGCTAGCAAATTCTCATTCAGGCTGGTTCAAGGGTTCAGATACTAGCGCACCTTTTCTGCCGGAGTGTTGCCTCTGTACTAACATTGCTATACGTGACCCTGCAGCAGGCATCGCCCCACTCTGTCCATAGAGAACAGTGACGGGAGAGTGGCTTTTACAAACCTTAATGTCAAGTTCCCCGTAGCCTCGTCCTAAAAAAGAACTCGTTACATTTTTCAATCCCGTGCATCTTGAATATACGCATTCACGTAGTTAGTCTATGTCAAGTGCGTTTCTATGTTGTTTACGATGTTGAGTGTAGTCAACTATGTCCTCGCTTTGTTGTCCTTTCAAATCGGTAAGACAGTTTTCCGAAATGAAAGTATTATGTGGCGTGTACAACTACACTGTAATTTTCCATATCTTCTATAGGTAAAAACAGTGCATTGTTATGTTGACAATTTTTGCGGCGATAATTAAAGAAAATCTTCAACTTATGGAAAATTTAAAAGTACTGAAGTTATTAATTAGAGAATATTCATTAGAGGTAATTATGTTAATGACTTATTAAGCACATAAATTTACATATTTTAGGAGAAAGTTATTACATGCAAGCTTTCCTATTATTCGTTTCGAAAACCTTATGATATATTAAACTTGAAGAATTTATAAATATCGAAAAATGTTTTCCTTAATTTGAATTTGTTATCTATAAACGATTAAATAATGCGATAAATAATTAAAAAGACAAATATTTTATTTAATATTATAATAAACGTATTTATTTACTATTCTGAGCATTATTCCTTTATTTTTACTTTTTCTTAAACATTTTACGATTATAGTTTAGTTTGCTCTTAGTTTCGTAATCACAGGTCTCAAGGTTTTATCGTGTTCTCAAGATACGCAATTTTGTGATTTAAGGAAGAAATAATATTGTCGAGCTCCTGTAGTTTTCTTGTTAATTCTACGAAGGCGTGAAAAACATTAGGATCGTCTTCGTTAATATTCTCCGATGTTGTTTGCGTTCTAGACGCCTTCGTCACATTTTCCACTTCAACAGATATAAAAAAAGCATATCAAAATTCTCTTTACGTTTGCTTCTTTACTGTATCATTTTCTTTAAAAAGATGTGTATACGGGGGTACATGTATATTTATCTATGTATCTTATATATATATATTTTTCTTTATATATATTCCGATAGTGACTAAATCTACAAGTATATAACTTACACAAACAGTGGAAGCGATTGTTTGATCGAAAATAATTCCAGATGCATAGCCAGCTTATGAGCCATTTCAAGATAAAGTGCAATTTTTCTGTAGCACGTACAAATATTGATTTCTTACAATCAAGTGTCTTCAAAGTTACTTCATCAACAGTACTTGATATTGACTTCTCTGATATCGTAGTTTTGATGTTATCCACGTCTATTTTGTCTGAATAAAGTGTCATTCGCTTTAGAATTGTTAAAATTGTGTTCCTATTAATACCTTGAGTTTTATTAATTTATTTAGTGTTTATTACCGTCTTCGATAGAGTCATTTTCTTTGTCATTACGTAATAAATCGTCAGAACCTTGTAGAACCTTCTTTCTTAGTTCTAGCAACATATTTTCAGCAGCACCAGGATAACAATTCGCCAACTGATTAATGATATCTTTAGTTAATTTCATATCAATTTTACGCAGCACTTTTCGATTTAATATCTGCCAATTTTCTTTCTTCGTAGTTATACTATTGGCTGGTACGTAATTATGAAGGTCAACATAACGAGGATAATATATTTTTAGAATTTCCGCCATTATTACTGAAGAACATATTTTTTAATTACTTAAATTATAGGAAGTCAAACAAATATCTGAATAAAAGAAATTAATACACCAGTCATTCGGTTAAATAATTACCAGCATCCGAAAGATCTCTAGATAAATTTTTTGTTGGTTTTGAAAGTGGAATCGTAGACATCCATGTATGCAATTCATCTAATTGATTTTTTGCATTTTTTTTGTCTTCATCAGCCATTTCTGTACGTTCGGTAAATATTATTATTATTATATCAATTTAGAAATTAATTTAATAAACACTATTGAGGAGATACACGTTTCTAATGAACGTTATATTTTTATATTTTTTCTACAATATCGTGCAAAATTTTGTACGATACATTAATGAGTTGTAGGAGAATTTGTTAATGTTATTTTTAAATCTTATTTATACATAATAATTCTTCAAAATGTTTAGTCGCAAAAATTGTTATGAAATTGACATTTTTCTTCTATCTGAAGTTAGATGCTACACATTTATAATATTATAATTATAGATCTGTAATTTTGTTTATTCGTTTATTTAATCAAACATATTTTACAGAGATAAAAGAACACGTTATGAATCGCAGAAATATTTCAATCAGAAATATTTTTCAAATTTTAACATTTTATGAAGTTGCATTTATCAAATATGTTGATAAAATAAAACCATCTTATACTATCGGAAAAATATCCCTAGTATAAAAATTCCAGTTCCTTTCATTCCTACGTGTTGCCAAACTTCATACCGAAAATTCACAATATTTAGTAACCCGTATTGTTGCAAAGTAATTGTCATGGCTTCGGAACGGTATAGTTTTTCATTAACAACTTTTAGGTAAGTATAGTTGTCATTTCTAAGATTCGTTTATTTTTAAATAACTTTTACGTATTATTGTACATTTCTTATGGTCTGTCGTATTATTAGACGTTTCGACTAACATAACCTGACAATATGTTACGTCCATCGGTTTACAAAATTTATCGTTGAAAATATACTAATAATGAAGTGATTTTTGTTTACAGTTTTTTCTATTTAATATTTTTTCGCATAATCTTTATATCTGCCTACCATAAAAATTAAAGTTACGTAGGTTTCTTTTTCTTAGAAAACGAATCGATGCAGTGTACGATGACTCGACAAATATTCATATAATATAACGAAGTATAAAATGAATTTATATCAAAATATAAAAAAGGAATTTATTTTGTTACATAGCCCATCTGGAAAGTTGGTACAGATAGAATATGCTTTAGCTGCTGTAGCTGCTGGAGCAGCTAGTGTCGGCATTAAGGCATCAAATGGTGTTGTTCTTGCCACAGAAAACAAACACAAATCTATACTGTATGATGAACACAGCGTGAAGAAAGTAGAAATGATTACGAAGCATATCGGTATGATATATAGCGGAATGGGTCCGGATTATAGAATGTTAGTAAAGCAAGCACGTAAAATTGCGCAGCAGTACCAACTCATTTATCAGGAACCAATACCTACTGCACAGCTGGTACATAGGGTTGCCATGCTAATGCAAGAATATACACAATCCGGGTACATGCCTTTTAAATAATTTTTCTTAATTAATTAAATCTTTCATACAACTAACATATCATAAAATTAAAACCATAGAGGAGTCAGACCTTTCGGAGTATCTTTGCTAATTTGTGGCTGGGATAATGGAAAGCCATGTTTATACCAGTGTGATCCTTCTGGTGCATATTTTGCATGGAGGGCCACTGCAATGGGCAAAAATTTTGTAAATGGAAAAGTATTCCTGGAAAAAAGGTACAGCGAAGATTTGGAACTCGACGATGCTGTTCATACTGCCATTCTAACTTTAAAAGAAGGATTCGAGGGACAGATGACTGCTGACAATATCGAAGTTGGTATTTGCGATGCAAATGGTTTTAGGAGATTGGAACCTTGTAACGTAAAGGATTACCTTGCCAATATTCCTTAATCTTAAATCATTTTTATATCACACGTCATTACAGTGATCTCCACACGGTTTAAGACGAATAAACTAGATTCTTATAATAAAATGTTTTGTTAAAAATAAAATTATTATTCCTTCGTTTATAATATATATTGAAAAGATATATTTTTTTCGTTCCAAAATATAGATTTGCCTTTACCTTTACTCTAAATTTATTAGGAGCTGTAAAAATAATGTAAGAAATATTACAAAATTTGTGTCGCATCGCGTTGTACAATATAAATTTGACCGTTAAAGTTCGATTTTCAAATTTACACGTGGAAAATATTATTTTTGTGCAATAGAGTGCGCCACAAGCATTCACGTTGGTTGGGCGCGATCGTGCGCGAATGCGAACGAGTTTTCGTAGTTGGTGCGCGGCCGGCCGGCTAGTTTGTTTCGCGTGTTACGTTGTGCTGTCAGTTTTCGGTGGTTGTTAGTGTTGACAAAAAAAATCGACCAGAACACGTGTTGGCCTCGTCGGGCTGTCTGTCAACGGATGTGCGTAGGTAAGCTCACAGTTAATAGACATCGGAGCGCATTTGCTTTCGCGATGCTCACCTTGGCACTTAAAGGCAAACCGTACTTCATCGCGATATCGATGTGTCGTGTGTACTTGTTCGATGTCGAATATATATCGCGGTACAAACTTTACTTTTGCACGTATCAATCTTTGTATCGTTGCATTTTAAATACGAATACGACGTATAGTTGGTAACGATCGTGTATCGAATCGCGTCTTCGTCGCGTTGTCGAATGTTTGTTTATGTCAGCCATTAGTCGCGATCGGTCGCAGAAGTATTTATTTATCGCGTATGTATGCTCGTCTTTTACTAAGGTCGTATTATTTTACGAACGTCTCGAAACCTTTCACGCATAACGTTTTCACGTGACACATCGAGTCTAACGATAACAGAGAATTCGTTAGAGGCAAATAACGTATCTATGTACGAGAAAAATCCTACCTTTCCAGCGTTGTTTACCTAGTCGAACATTTATAACATCGGTGAGAAGACAGAAACGCGTAAGAGTAAATAGTATTAACGATGCATCGTCTTTTTTATCGTTAGTTTTAACATTGAATTCGTTATGCAACCTCTATCATTAGATAGATTTTTTTCGTGGTTACAGACGGCATTTGAAGCATCGCAGATTTTCAACATTTGCGCGTGCTTGTTTTTATTCTTATTTTAATCGCGACATTTCACCGGTTTATAAACCATAAATTCGCGTTTCTATGGAGTAGATTGCGCGCCTATAATAATTTGAAATTGTGAATCCCGGCTAATCCCCGATCATCTTTCGGTCTCTACCCATTCTCCATCGTTCGGCTATCGTCCATTTTCTCTCTTTTTCTTACTAACTCACTTTCCCGCCGTAGCGTTGTCGTCGTCGTCGTCGTCGTCGTCGTCGTCGTCTGCAATGGAGACGAACAATGCCAGACTTTAATATGATGCATCCGCAGACGCGTTTCCATGACTAACGGCGGCTTTCATTTACTGCTGCTCGAACAGTGTTTCCACGTTGGTACTTGAAGATCTCCCCGGACAATCATACTCATCCAGGGAGCGAGGGAGAGAGAGGGAGAAAGATAGAGAGAGAGAGTTAGTAGGAGGGTAAGGGAAACGAGAGGGAGAAAGAGATAGCGGAGAAGAGGGAGAAAGAGAGATAGCGTGGCGAAGACGAAGGCTTCGCTGCGCTGGTTGCATGGTTTGCAATTTTAATGTCGGCATTACAAGAGGCCAGTCAGTTCTTCCCTTCCGGCTGGCGAAAGCGCTGAATTTACATTTCCGCTTTTGCGGGAATCGCGAGCGTGCCGATGTCGCTTATTAAAAATTCTAAAAAGCCATCGAGCGTCCCTCTGGCATTCCGTATTCTTCGGCTTTGTCTCGATCTATTGGTCTCTTCGTGTCGCCACTTCTTTACTCCTCGGCCTTCTCCTCTTCTGCCGAGTACCTTCGAGATTCGACACCTCGAGACGGATACTCGCGCATGCTCGCTTCAAACCTCCATTCTCCGTGTATCATTTTTCCACGTATTTTCCACGTATTTAACTTAACGACCAACGACTCCGGTGGACCGTTCCACCTTTCGACCCCTTTGCTTCCAAAACTCGGATGTGTCCCTCCTGCGACGTGACGCAGCGACGTTCTAATTACGCACGTTTTCTTACCCCTTTGTTCCCTCTTTCCCATTACTTTCATTATCAGAGTCCAGCCGGCTGGACTTTACACGCGAAACAACGCGATCCGAGAGTGAAATTACACGCGGGTTAATTGCGCGTTAGGTATGCAAGGTGCGATCCACTTGCGCGAAAAACGCAACGGTCGTTCACGCTTTTGCGTATGGTAGCATAATACAGATTCGATCGTGTTCGCGTTTGCACGTTTTCGCGATTATTTCTGGACGATGCACGTAAACGTACGAGTAAACGTATTCCACCGACGATCGGACGTCTGCGAGTACGCGTGATTGGTTTGGAAGGTCACTCGGAGGTTACGCGAGGTCGCCGAGGTCGCGTCGTCGGAGGTTAAGGACACTCGGAGACGATTGAAAAGTTACGTAATTCGGTGCAAGATCGTTTCCAGTTATTTCGCAGATAATCGTAGTTAACGATTACGATTGCTTTCACGCGAACGATTCGAAAGCCGTAGGTAAAAAGTGTCTGGAGTAGTTGGACGAAGCCTCTGATTAATTAAACCTACCACGGATGACGACGTTCGCGAGTCCGTAAAGCGACAGGACATTTCTCAAGGAAGGAAAGGAACGTTTTCCAAATGATCTCCTTCCTTCTTTTTCTCTATTCGGTATTCGAAGCTGCAAGGCTGCGTGTAATACATCTCGAAGCGTATCCATCTAGCAGAGCAAGTTGTCAAACTATGTCAGCGGTATTCGTGTCTAAGAAGCTTCGGTGTAAATAGCGACGCGGTTAGTTCGATAACGATCGTTCAAACTCGTCTCGTTACGGTTATAGCTGGTGGTATTAGGTATTCGCTGTTTATTTGACACGCGGCCTGTATCGCAGTGACTACCGATATCGAATAAACGTACAAATAGGAGGCCGTTATCCACACGTGTCTGACACACAGGCTCTCGTAACGTTGCACTACGCAAAGTGGAATATTAGGCCAAGTTGATAAAGGATTCGTCATCGAGGGTTGTAAGTGGAGGGTTGGTGGTCGAGAAATCGAGGAAGTGCTCGAAAGAGCTTTCTTTACCGATCGGAGGAGGCAAAGTATCGGCTGCGTGAAAATACGACAGAAGCGACGGAGTTGGTTCGATTCATCGACTCAATCTTGCTCCGCCTCCCTGTCCTCGGACTCTTAATCGCTTATCCGTGGAAAAAAGTCGCAAAGTCACGACGAACCATCTGCCGCGTCCTGTAGGTTTTTCAGCGCAAATGGAAGAAAAGAACTAAGGGAGACAAGCAATTTAGTCAGACATTTTCACTGGCGTCTCGCTTCTTCCTCCTCCCGGTCATCGGATACGTCTTCTATTTTCCTCCTCGTGAACATCCGCCGAGTCGTCGAAGATGGATGGCGAATGCGCATAGGACAGGGACAGCAAAGAAACCTTCTTGGTATAATACCTCCTTCGAGGTTAAGGATTATTTCTCTAACAACTCGTTACGACTCGCGAAACTTCGATTTAAACGAATCAGCGAGCGATTTCGACCTCGGTAATTATTTCTACTAGGATCTGTTGGATCGAAAGAGACTCGCTCGATTGATAGCGACTCTGTGAGCATCGTATATGCGCGTAGTTGAATGGAAAGTGGGCGTCTCGTGGCGAGCAGGAGAAGGCCATGGATTCGCGAAACGTTTCATCGGGTCGCCGGTAAACCGATGGTCCATATATTTTCGACGTAACTCGTGCGAGTTAAAGTATAATGGACAGAACATGTCCTTCTCCGTTGCAAGCGCGGCTGACCGGTGTCTTTGTCTCTGTTTGACGAGAAACGGCATTCGGCCGAGCGATCAAAGCTTCCAGAAGCCGACAAGCCCCGGGATGACGTCGATCGCTTCGGTTTCCCGTCGTCGCAAGCTCCGATGAACAGCTTTTTTCATCCCCGGCCTGCACGAGCAGCCCTGCACGAGGCGCCCTGCAAAAGCTCGTTTTCCCTTTTCACTGTGTGGGAGACCGTGCCCTCCCTCTCGGGCCACGGATAAAATTAGATCGTTGCTCGATCTATCTTCTCGCGCGCCATTTCTCTAGCTCTAGCGCCTTTGCCCGCACGCGCTTCGTTCACCTCGAAGTTTTCCCTCTCGCGTTTCCTCGTTTGCGGGAACAATCGGTTCGAATAGTCCACCCTTTGGATTTGTCATCGTCATTCCTCGCACTCGTCATCGACCATCGCCCGAATCGTCTTTCGATCGATGTTTCTCGCTGTTTAGAAAGAAGACTAGTCGCTTCTCCTCGAACGCGTGCGTAGATCGCACTCGTTCTCGTTGCAAGGGAATTCCTTTTAACTGTTAGAGGTGTCTTCGTCTTTGTCCCTGGGAAACATAACTTCGTCCAAGGATACAATGAGCGGCGAACATCGTGGAATGTAATTAAGCCGGAGCTACCGACGGAACACGGCTGATGTCAAATTATGGGGTAGCTTTGCCCTCTCTTTCCTTCTCGCCCTAGTTCGTCATACTGATTTATTTCCTGTCTACCAATGGCTTCTGACGTCCTGTGGCGGCCCACGTTTCATCCTTTCGCGCCTAATATCTCTGGAATTCTACGCGGATCCGTCGAATTTCACCCGATGGTCGACACCGAGCTTAGTTCCCAAATTTTCTTATCCGTAAAACGGCGGCCCACGTTTCATCCTTTCGCGCCTAATATCTCTGGAATTCTACGCGATCCGTCGAATTTCACCCGATGGTCGACACCGAGCTTAGTTCCCAAATTTTCTTATCCGTAAACAAACGCCTTAAACCGTTTAGCAGTGGTCGAACGACGAGAACGTTCCACGTCGATGCAAGGTTTTACACGGGTCGAGGAATTAAATTTCTCCGTTCACATTTAGACGAGTTTGT